TTATTAATCCATTATATGACATATAAAGCATCCTCAGAAGTTTTAGAATTCACTGAATATTTACTGAGCATTTTCGATATATAAAGGAAACACGAAGGGGAAAAAAATGAAAACTCCCAGCCCTCCAATATTCAGTCTAGCAGTAATGAGAATATAATGGGGCACAACAAAATGCTGTTGATATAGAGCACTGGGGGCAAAATGAAAGTGACAACTGTTTTTAAAAAGTTTGCAATGGGCCCAGTGCGGTGGCCTAGTGCCTAAAGTCCTCTCCTTGAACACCCCAGGATCCCATATGGACACCAATTCTAATCCTGGCAGCCCTGCTTCCCATCCAGCTCCCTGCTTGTAGCCTGGGAAAGCAGTCGAGAACGGCCCAGAGCCTTGGGACCCTGCACCCGCGTGGGAGACCCTGAAGAGGTTCCTGGTTCCCGGCTTTGGATCAGCTCAGCTCTGGCCATTGCGCTCACTTGGGGAGTGAACCATCGAATGCGGATGGACAATCTTCCTCTCTATCCCTCCTCCTCTCTGTATATCTGCCTTTCCAATAAAAACAAATAAATCTTTTTTAAAAAAAAGTTTGCCATAAGAACATTTGGGGAATGCATTCTAAAAATACAAGAAAACTTCAATATGTTCATTGGATTCCAACACTTTTTGCATCAAAATACATTTTTAATAAATGTATTTTACAGAGAGAAGGAGAGACAAAGAGAAAGACCCATCTGCTGGTTCACTCCCCCAAAATGGTTGCAATGAGCTGAGCTGATGTGAAGCTGGGAGCCAGGAGCTTCTCCTGGGTCTCGGATATGGATGCAGGGTCCCTTTTACTTGAGCCATCCTCAGTTGCTTTTTCAGGCCATGATCAAGGAACTGGTTCAGAAGGAAAGCAGCTGGGACATAAACCAGTGCCCATTTCAGACGCTGGCACTGCAAGACGGGAATTAGCATGTTAAGCCACCACATCAACCCCACAAATTTTTTTTAATTGTAATAAAATTTGGACCCAGTGCGGTAACCTAGTGGCTAAAGTCCTTGCCACCCAGATCCCATATGGGCGCCAGTTCTAATCCCTGCTTGTGGACTGGGAAAGCAGTTGAGGACAGCCCAAAGCCTTGGGACCCTGCACCCACTTGGGAGACCAGTAAGAGGCTCTGAGCTCCTGGCTTCAGATCAGTGCAGCTCTGGCCATTGCGGCCACTTGGGGAGTGAATCAACAGACGGAGGATCTTCCTCTCTCTCTCTTATCCTCCTCTCTGTATATATTTTTAAAAAGATTTATTTATTTATTGTAAAGTCAAATATACAGAAAGGAGGAGAGACAGAGAGGAAGATCTTCCGTCTGATGGTTCACTCCCCAAGTGAGCGCAATGGCTAGTGCTATGCCAATCCAAAGCCAGGATCCAGGAACCTCTTCCTGGTCTCCCACACAGGTGCAGGGGTCCCAAAGCTTTGGGCCATCCTCGACTGCTTTCCCAGGCCACAAGCAGGGACCTGGATGGGAAGTGGAGCTGCCGGGATTAGAGCCAGCGCCCATATGGACTCCCGGCACGTTCAAGGCGAGGATTTTAGCCGCTAGGCCACTGCGCCGGGCCCTCCTCTTTGTATATTTTTTAAAAACTGAACAAAATTAGATATGTGAGACACAGACAAGGTTCTTCATCTACTAATCCAGTTTCCAAGTGCCTATAAATGCCAGGGCTGCACTGAGGTTTGGCCAGCAGCCTGGAACTCAAACCAGGTCTGTGACATGGGTGGCAGGCACTGAAGGCATTGCTGCTGAGTCTCAGGATCCGCATTCGTAGAAAGCTGGGGTGAAGACTCACAGCCTAGAACCAAACTCAGGCACTCAGATGCAGGGCACAGACGCCTGTACTGCTAGACTGAACACACACTCTCAAACCGACCTTTCAAATTCCACCTTCCATGAACTTTTTGAAGGTCCATCATATGTGTAGAGGCAGGAAAGGGGACACTTAAAATGGACTTTGGCACTGCAGTTGTTAAAAAACAGCAGGCCTGGGGGTGGGGAGGGGGAGGGTGATCAAAGATAAGGCTGGAAAAATAAACCCGAGGCAGGTTGTGAAAGATCCTGCCAGCCAAAATCGGAGGTTGGCGTTGACTTTCTATGCCAGTGGATCACAAATTGTGGTGCCCAGCAAAGCAGTTACTTCACCTGGCAAATTCTTGGTTCCTATCCCAGGCCTACTGAATCAGAAATTGGGGGATTGGGACCTCCTAGCCACCTGTGGCTTGACTCTGGCCCTCCACTGCCACCACTCCCCTCCCCCAACCATGACAACTCCCTCTGGCAATGAGAAAGCTCTGAAAGGATTTTAAGCAAGGAATAACCTGATAAGATCAAAAGCAGGAGATTTGATTGTCATTGGTCAATCAAGCACAGCCCCTGAATCCAGAGTAGTTTCAATAAGAAATAAATAGCTGCTTGAATGGAAGCACCATGAAGAGAAAAGGAGGGCCCAGATTAGTTAGAATGACAGCAAACAGATTTTTAAGAGGCGTTTTACAGGTGACCCAGGCACCTAGGGTATGTGATACAAAAGCTGCAACTGAAAATGGTTTTTTATATAAATGACAATTGTTAATCGCCCCAAACTGCTAACTTGGGAAGTAGTCCACACAGACCCTAAACAAAGGGGAGGTCAAGAGCAATTTCTATGGGTATCCATAAAGTCAAGATTAAAGGGCGTTGTTTGTACACGAGACCTTTCAGTGTAAGTGGACTGTCCTATTTTCTTCTACTAATTTACTGTCAATCAATCCCTGAGTCTGACAATTTCTGGATGTGCTGACAAAATGAAGTTTTGACCCCTACAAAAGCTAACTCAGACAATGGATCCGGTGACGTAATCACGGTTCTGCCCACATGAGACACTACCAGGCCTTTCCTCTTTGCTTCCAACTTCTTTCACCAGAGCTTGCTTTACCCAGGAAGTTGAAATTGAGTGAAAGACTTAGATTTGGACTGTGCCTTGAAGGTCAAGAACGTCAAAGAAAGCCGTTATTTCTAGTTTGGGAGGCAAGATCTTAGCTGAGGCCACGCGCAGTTTCTTGAGGAAGAGTGGCAGAGGTACACGGCTAATTCACGTGGGGGAAAATTGTGCAGGGTGCAATTCCTATTCCCAGCGCAACTCTGGCTGCCTGTCACTCTGTCCCCTTTAATTGACATCTATCTTGGCTTGTTCGAGTAACTTATCTTGATTAAAAATGGCACTTTTATGCAATTTTAGAGCAATTAGGGACCTTCCAGCTTAAAGCAAAACTCATACGAGGGAGAAATTGCGGGCCTCCGAGAATAAGTTTTACTTAATATATTTCCTGCAAGACAAGACAGTCCAGAATGTCTGAAGATGAAAAAATATTTAATAAAAACCTGAAAAACCTTAAGAAAAAATACACATTATTTTTGTAACTCTGTATTTATTATATTTTCTATCTCTGCCTAAAACTTTTTTTTTTTAATACTGTCCGTTGCATTTATTTAGAATATGAAGGGACTCTGTCACAACTACCCTTCACAGGTTAAAAAAAGAGATTCCCAAATTTCACACCACCTGGTGTCTGAGCAGGCCGCGGCTGCTGTGAATTTCAGAAATGCTTTAGAAAGTAGTTTAATCTTGCATCCTGTTTGGATATGTAGATATGAATAACTTGAAAGTCACACTTGGCCCCGCTTCCTGTTTTCCAAACTTCCCATTGCTTTATATTCAAATATATGTGGAATTTAAAAGGTGGGATACACCCCTTAATTCCACATCCGGAGTAAAATATTTCACAAGCAAATAGATTTCCTAGTTCTTAGTAAAAACACGTATAATATTTTCATCGTCAAGAATGTATGCGTACCTTGCCTATAAAAGTAGACTTTCCCCCCCTTTTTTTCTGGAATTCTCATGAGGAGTACAATGAATTTCGACAGATCAGTACTGCTTTTTAGGCAAGATCTAAAGGGCCCAATTTTGCAGCTTTGTCTTTTGATTCCCCTCAAAAGTTAACAAGCGAGGAACATTTACATTCACGGTTAGCTCTGCGCGCAACATTGCATTCGTCCCATTTGATAGAAAGGTTCCTGCAGTGTGGGGAGGACACACGTCGGTAACTTCCCACACACAAAGGTGAAAGCCCAGGAGGCTGCGGACAAAGTGTAAAACAGTGTGCCCTAGCACTCCAGCTCCACCTGACTGGGGCCCAGCCTCTCAGCCCTCATCCCGCACTCCTCCCCACTCCGGCTCGCTCCATGTGAAACCGGTCATGTGAGCCTGTTTACAGCCGAGCAGCTGGTGCAACCGTCGGGATCCGTGCGGAGGTCCAGAGAGGGGAAAGGAACAGGCCGTGTACCCTCTACACCCCCCCCCCCGCCGCCTCATTATTCCGAGAAGGTATTCGCACTCCCCACCCCCACCCCCTTGCCGCCTGTCCAATCTAATCTCCCTCCAGACAGAGTGCAGAGCTGAAGCCACCCCGGGACGCCTCCATCCAGCCCCGCTGATTTCCTTCCAGTTGCTCGCGGGAGGGGACGATCTGTGGGGGGATACTGGCAGGGCTGGAGGAAGGGCGAGGACGGTGTCACCCCGGACTGGGAATCCATCTCCCGCCCCAAACCCTCTTCACAAGTTCGCGGAGAGTTGTCCCAGGAGCCACATCCCCTGGGCAACAGAGAGCCTTGCCGGGCAAGCACCGGGAGGCTCCCGAGACTGCCTTCGTTTAGACAAGAACGAGGCGCACACTAGCTAGTCAGAGCCTGCGGCGGACAACCACGGACAGCAGGGCCACTGACAGAAATGGGGCGCAAAAGCAGCCCTGCGCCTCCTCCCCACCGCCCACCACAGCCCGCCGGCGCGCAGCCCAGCTGTCAGTCACACAGCCAAGCTCAGGCTTTGGCTACGGGTCATTCTTGCGGCGGGGGTTCTCGGCCACGTAACTTCCACGTTTTCCCGAAGAGGGAGGAAGTGGGTGACGGGACGGTGGGGGACTCTCACCTTGGCAACACTAGCTCCTTGAAAAGCAGCTGCGACTGCTCCTCCGCTTCTTTGTCAGCGTCTCCCGGCTGCACTGCCTGCTGGGATACCGGAGGACTCGAATGCCACCTCTCCCCGCCCTCGAGGATGAGCAGTGGCTGGAAGGTGGGCGGGAAGAGGAAGGAAGAGGAGGCGGGGCCTGGGCGGGGCCGGCTCTGGGGGCGGGGCCTCGGCGTTGCTGCCTGATTTCTAACTTCTTTGTACCCCTAATCTCTTCCTTCCCTGTGCTCTCTGATCAGTAGATTCTTTCGGTCCCACAGCCGCTAGGGGAGAATGGAGACTGTCACAGAGCGCAATCTTGCTTTGCAGTTAAGCCTTCACATTTGATTTCTTCCGTATCTCACACCCTCAAACCCTGCCCACATGGCCCTCATGATTGTATCTCCTTGACTTGTCCCATTGACTGTCTCCTTTACTTCAGCCTCAACGCCAGAGATGGTTTAAGACATTATTACTTTCAAAGCTGCCATTCGAACTCTTCCTTCCACTCTTTCCTCGAAACTGTTTCCCAAAAGCAGCCAGAGGGTGTATCTAAAGTCTGAATGTGACTGCATCTCTTCTAGTTAAAAACTTTAAGTCTCAGGAGTACCTACCGCCTCTCAGTATCCTATATAAGTTCCTTTGCAATCTTCTTCTGATATGCCGATACATATGGCTGTGCATGGAAAATGTTAGATTATAAGACAACTCAGACACCACCGATTGCCCCAAATACATCACCTTGAATGGAAGTCCCATTGTCAGTAACTTCCATAGGTACTTCGGAGTATAGAATACTCACCATTAAATCTGAGTGACTTTCAGCAGGTGAAGTACAGCAGGTCCCCTTTCCACAGATGTAATTCATAAAGAATTCTTGGATTTCCCACCCAAGCAGTAGGCTGCCAGCAGATGCCCCAGAGGTGCCAGGCCCTGACATGTAGCTGCCTTGTCATTTTGGTTTGTCATTCTTCTGGCCTGGGTCATCTCTACTCATTATTGTGTCTTCTATTCTTTCCTCCCAGACTATGAATTCCTTTTAGACAGGTTACAGCTGCCAGCACAGTACCTGATCCACAAAGGTCATGATACGATTGGAGGGAGTGAAATCTTGGTATCCACTTCATCTAGAATATTAAGTAGGCTTGGAGAAGATCCTAACCAAGGCCTCAGAGAACAGCCACCCTCCCTTCACTAGGCATCTCCACCATAGCCTGACCGTGTGTCACTGCCGCAAACTGGTTAGGCAGCTGCGGAGCATTGCAAAAGGACCAAAGCTCGTACTTCCCATGCAGGTTAGACTGGTTTGAGGTAAAATATGTGCTTGTGAAAAATACAACTGCTACCAATCTCCTGAGCATCCAGTGTACAAAAATTGCATGGTGCCGTAGAAATTAACTGAGCCTCGAAAAGCAGACATTATATCTCTCAGCTTTGAAAAATGTCTGACTCATTTTACTTATAGCTACCCTTGGGTTGTGCATCTCTTCATACTTTGTACATTGTCTATATGCCAAAGTATTCTTTCGTGGAAGTGGCCATCTTTATGTTGGTCCTGCATTCACTTTCTGTATAAATTACATCACAATCTGTATTCCGGTTGGTTTTCCTTGTACCTAAAGTGGCAAGAATGACTGTCCTAGCCAGTTTAGTCAGTTTACCAGGCTCTTAGTAGATTCTACTGGAGGTAAGATGTGTGGTGATTATGATGTAACTAGAGGATGCTCTTCAAACGTAAGTTTTGCTTTATGGTTACACTTTTTAAATATCTAGACACTGTCCTGCCTAGCCATATGTATTTGAGTATCCAGTTAAGAAATAAAAAAGTTCTATTGAAAAACCCTAAAGATATTTTATACCTTATTTTCCCAAGTTTGCTTTAGGACAAGAATCACCTAAAGCCCTTGTTAAAAACAGATTCCTAAACCCTATCTCAAACTACTGAATACAAATTTCCTGGAGAAAGGCAAGTCTAATAGTATGGGGGAACTTTAGAAAACTATAAAAGGGCCCAGCGCAGTAGCCTAGTGGCAAGGTCCTTGCCTTGCACACGTCAGGATCCCATATGGGCGCTGTTTCCTGTCCCAGTGGCCCCACTTCCCATCCAGCTCCCTGCTTGTGGCCTGGGAAAGCAGTCAAAGATGGCCCGAAGCCGTGGGAGCCTACACCCACATGGGAGACCCGGAAGACTCTCCTGGCCCCTGGCTTTGGATCAGCTCAGCTCCGGCCATCATGTTCACTTGGGGAGTGAATTAGTGGATGGAAGATCTTCCTGTCTCTTTTCCTCTCTGTGTATCTGACTTTCCAATAATATAAGTAAATCTTTTTTTTAAATCCATGAAAATGGAATTAAAATATAAGTAGATCATGTTGTGAAAATTTTGAAATTTATGCAACTACTAGGGGGCTTTGAAAAGATCAGACAATAGCCAGAGAGTGTATCTAAAGTCTGTTTCTAATGTCACAATGGCTTTGATCAATCAATTTTGCTACTGGATCTCTCTTTGCGGAATCCTCCCAGCCTCTGGGCAGGCTATTTTGTTTGTTTGTTTGTTGTTGATCTCTCAAGTAGTGGAGGGCTGGAATTAGATATACTTAGCCACTGTGGTACCCAGGGCCACATAAGGTCTTAAATTGTACTTGATATACTGTAAGCACTTGTCTGTCTCTAGGAGCTGACCTTGACAATGGCCTGTTTTCTGCTTGTCTCGCCCACTTGACTGACATCTTATTGAGGGAAGCCACAAGTCAACTCTGTATCCTGTCTGAATATTATGTGAAGCACCATAATTCACTGGGAAACATTGATCCGAGAATGGACAAGCTTCCCTTTTTATAAAGCCTCTGTTAGCTACTCCAGGAGAGGAGCAAAGACCGATAGCCATTGACACTAGTAGTCTTGGGCTTGGGACTTGATAGGAACATTTTTCTGATAGCATTTATATGTGTGCTGCTCTTGAACTGAATGTAGTATGAGAAAAGCTTTATGAGAGAAGTGGGGAACATTGCCTGTTTTCTCCATTGCCTGGAGACCAGACTTTGGGACTGGAATATGTGACTAAAATATGTCCAGCTCAAGGCGGCTGGACACCGCAAGAGCTCCAGCTGCATTCTCATCAACTGATAATCCAGACATGTGGTCAGACATCCACAGAAAGGTATTTAAGGTCATACATTTTGCTCTACACTGTTCAGGCCTGGTGCATTGCTAATTCATTTTGGTAACCTTTGCACAGAGTTCCTCATTTGTTGGTTCTTGCTAAAATAATAGAGAAGTTAAAGAAGAAGGATCTTAACTGTAATCTTGTGGTGGTAGAGATTAGAGATTGTTCCAAATGCCTGAAGGTTTGTTTTCTGTTTTGTTTTGTTTTGTTTTTGCAAAATAGGAATGAATTTCACTGTCCTACTAAGGAGTTGTGTGTCTCCAGGCAAATTCTTTCTTATTCCTCGGATTTAATATTCACTCATCTATACAACGAAGTTGCTGGACTAGAACACGCCTGTGGCAGACCTGTCCAGAAATTGCTTTTCAAAATCTTAGAACTTGACTTTCTGCTGCCCTGATTCCCTATCCGAACTCACAGAACTGAACAACAGAGAAATTGTTCTATGTTTCTCGTTCCCTGTGCACCATGATCGATATTAATTAGATAAATATGCTAAATCACAAATGAATCAAGAACAATTCCTGAATTGCCTGCTATCTGTCCACACTACGTGGAAGTGATTTTGCTTTATCATTGATGTAGCAGGAGCATGCTCCGTGCCCCAGGGTTGCTCAGAGGAGCCTATGACTTAGTGAGCCAGCGAGCAGAGCCAGTTGTGCTTTTTCACCTTTTGTTGTGGCAACCAGGACACCTGTACCCTTTGCACTTGTCAGGTTACAACACTGTTACACAAGGCTCTCTATTCATCATGCCAGAGAATGTTGACCAAGACAAGGAGAAGGCCTCAGGCACGGTATTAAGGGGTAAGGAAGCAAATTCAAGAATTGTGTCTGAATATAAAAGACAAATTATAGAATAAGGCCTGTGAAGCAGTGTGGTTTAGTGGAAGTAATATGGAGTCATGAACTATGGAAACAGAGAACTTACTTACTTCCTGAGCTCAGATCCTTCATCTGTAAAACCTTCCTTTGAAGGTTGATCTGATTAGAGGAAATAATGTGTGTTTGTAAAGAGACTAAAACTTAGAGGACATTCAGTGTATTTGAATATTCTGAATACCTGTTGAAGAAAGAAAGACCACTAAGACTAGTAAACCTAGTTATTACAAATTCAAGAGGCTAGTGGCTAATGGGGGAAGAAAGTGCCTCTTAATTTTGCAGTGAACATAAAACTGCTCTAAAACTATGAATTTGTTGAGGAAAAAAATCAAGGAGGGTCCATACTATCTGATTATATTATAGCCCAGAAATCAGCATGCATACAAGCAATTTCAGCGTACATTTCAGGACCTTCCAGTAGATTTCCAGGCTGTTCCTCACACTTTGGTGTTTCCATGCTCTTGGACTATTGTGCATGCCATCTGGGCTACAGTTCATATCAAACCCTAATAAGTTTTGCCATTTTCTAAGAAAAATACAGATATTTGCATTTTGTAATTTTGTTATCTTCACTGTAAGATTTAAATACTGTGACAGAGTTCCCCCACACTGTGCCCTAAGCAGTATTCTACTGTCTGCTGTTCCAGGCTTCCATTGAGTCCCTTTCCCAAAGTCTGTGTTCCCTGTTACTTTATCCTTCATTCTTAGCTCTATAAATTTTCTCATGACTAGTAGATTCACATGGCTAATCTGGAATTTTATTCTAGTAATCTGATAGGTACTCAATAATTTGTATCTAACCTTTAAAAATGCGTTAAGACTTCTGGCACATGTTTCAAAGATAACATAGCAAAGAGCAACATTAAAGTGTTATAATGTCTAACATGGGATGTGGAGCATCCACTTCCCATATTGAAGTGCCTAGGTTTGAATTTCAGCTCACTTTCCAATCCAACTTCCCAATAATGTACACCCTTGGAAGTAACAGCTGATGGCACAAATACTTAGGGCCCTGCCACACATGTGGGTGATCCAGACTGAATTTAGGCTCTGGATTTGGTCAG